AGCCCTACTTCTAGATACTAAGTACTGTGTCAACCATATATCCTAATGCACAGTGACTGGTTTTTGGCACCAGGGACTGGTTTCGTGGAAGACAGTTTTTCCACAGATGGAGGATGGTTTCAGGATGAAACTGTTCTACCTCAGATCATCAAACATTAGTTAGATTCTCATAAGGAACACACAACCTAGATCTCTCACATGCGCAGCTCACAATAGGTTTCCTGCTCCTATGAGAATCTAATGCTGCCACTGATCTGACAGGAGGCAGAGCTCTGATAGTAATGCTCGCTCACCCACTGGCCCACCTGCCTGCCGACCGTAGGCTGTATTCCTAACAGGCCATGGACCAGTACCAGTGCTGTATGGGCCTGGGGGTTGGGGGCCCCGTTAATGCAGTAAACAGAAAGCTGTCCGTGTGCCATAAGCAGAAAGGAATTTAGCATAGGGAATTAGTGGTTAGATTATCATTGGAAGGCCTACAGGATCAAGCTCTATCAAAGTTACTATGCTCATGAAGGCAAGAGCACGTGATCATGATCATAGTTACAGTCCAGGAATCAGAAGCCATCACCACATCTGCTTCGCAATAACCTAACAAAGTGATACCTTGGTATTGGAACTTGGAGTGTCTCCACTGTCTCTACCACATCTGCAGCTGTGTTACCAAGAAGCTGGAGAACCCATATTGGAATACTGCTATAGAAACATTTTGCCTCACGGCTTTGTTTCATAGAAAAAAAAAAAAAGAAAAAGAGAAAGAGAGAAGGAGGGAGGGAAGAGAAGGAATGAGAGAACAAATGGACAAATGAAATAACAAGGCCAGGAGTGGGAGGATCAGAGGATCACTTGAGGCCACCAGTTGGAGACCAGCCTGGGCAACATAGCGAGACCTTGCTTCTATAAAAAATTATTTTAAAGAATTAGCTGGGCATGGTGGCATGCACCTGTGGCCCTAGCTACTCAGGAGGCTACTCAGGAGGCTGACAGGAGGATTGCTTAAACCCGGGAGTTCAAGGCTGTGATGAGCTTTGATGAGGCCACTGCACTCTGCCTTGGTGACAGATTGAGACTTTGCCTTTATTATTATTTTTTTTTAAAAAAAAGAACAGATGAAACAAAAGCCAAAGGAGCCAAAAGTGGACTTCTGCTTCTCTTCCACCTTCCCAATCTCTTACACAGCACTCCTACTTGGGGAAACCCTAATTTATATCTAGAATCCTAGCTGCAAGATAATTTGGGAAATGTCAGATGTAGCTTTCCTGCCTCTGTAACACAAGAGGTACACTGGAAGAAGGATTATAGAATAGAGATTGAACAAGCCAGTTTGCCATATCTATCTTAGGGCCTAACCTTGCTTCCCCTAAGAAAATTTAACTGTGATTTTTTTTTTTTTGGTATATTTATTGTAATACTGTTATTTTAATGATCTTCAGAGTCAGAAAGCAGACTGATTCATGTCTTGAGACTTACCTAGAGAATTACATGCTGCATTAAAGTTAAAAACTTAAATCATGCAGAGTTTTGGAAAATATTCCAACAGCATCCCTTCCCTTAAAACAAACTCTTTGAGGTATCTTGTTTTAATTTCTATTTCTTGGATTATTTGTAAATTTTACAGTATTATATTTTGGGTCATTGTATTTCTCCTTCCAGCGATAACATTGAGTCCTCTTAGTCTGAGAGGAGTAGATGTGCACTGAAAGATGATATAAGAGAAGGACTAAGGGAGGAAAGAAAAAGTGAAGTGCCCAGGCCCAATTCCCATTTCTTGCCCTAGAATCTGATTACCTTCATTTTATCAGAGTTGGATTCCCTACATACTTTCAAGGTTAATTCCATTATATTGGAGGCTGACTCCTCCTTCTATAAGATCATTTGTTTTAATCAGAATCTTCTATCATCATTCTGCTCTAAGAGGCTGAATTGAGAAGGGCGGTATAACCTCATCTCGGACCACTCAGGCTAAACAGCAACAGAACAAAGTTTAGAAAATGATGGATACTATGTCTAACATGAGTATTAGCAAAATAAGCATGAAATACCAACATTGTTGTTTTACTCTATTATTGTCATCATTAATTACAGTGTTTTGAGAGTAAGAATTCTCCAATTACTTTAGAAAGGTGTTAAAGTTCTGATGTTGCTTTCTTAACTGTTTTTTAGACAGGGTCTCACTCGGTCGCCAGGCTGGCCTCCAATAGAACAATCACTGTTCACTGCATCCTCAACTTCCCAGGCTCAGGTGATTATCTCATCTCAGCTCCCAAGTAGCTGGGACTACAGGCATGTGCCATCATGCCCTGCTAATTTTTTTTTTTTTTTTTTTTTTTTGAGATGGAATTTTGTTTTGCTCTTGTCGCCCAGACTGGAGTGCAATGGTATGATCTCGGATCACTGCAACCTCCACCTCCCGGGTTCAAGTGATTCTCCTGCCTCAGCCTCCCCAGTAGCTGGGATTACAGGCACATGCCACCACACCCTGCTAATTTTTGTATTTTTAGTAGAGATGGGGTTTCGCCATGTTGGCCAGGCTTGTCTTGAATGCCTGACCTCATGTGATCCATCCGTCTCGGCCTCCCAAAGTGCTGGGATTACAGGCATGAGCCACCGTGCCCAGCCAAATTTTTGTATTTTTTGCAGAGTGGGTTTTGACATGTTGCCCAGGTTCAAGTAATTCTCCTGCCTTGACCTCCCAGAGTGCTGGGATTATAGACATGAATGACTGCACCGGACCTTAACTTTTAATTGCAGAAACTTCAGGTCATTTATTCTGTCTTAAACCCTGCTATTCCTAGAGGGAAGAGTGCCTGGAAATAAGACTTTTTAAATCTGAAAGACTAATTTTTCTGCCTCTTTGCATCATTTGAAGTTCATTTAAACCATTCCTTTGTAACTTTCTTCTATTAGGGACAATATTGTATTAAAGGGATCTTTTACTCAAATCTCTTGAGTTGGTACCTTATCCTCTGTACTCAAATCTCTTGAGTTGGTACTTTATCCTCTGTAGGTGAACTCTTTACTGTTTTTGGTGTTTGTTTAAATTCATTCTTCCTCTTTTCTTTTGTTCCTGGCTGAGAAAGATAATTTTTACCCATTTTATCATGATTTTTTCTTCTCCAACTTCTTTCATACTTCTGTGTAAGTTATTAAATGTTAACCCTTTGTTGGCCATATGTTCAGCTTTCATCCTTTTCCCCCATAGCACTTAATCAGTTGAATGAAAGGAAGTGACTCTCACAAAACCTTTCACATTTAAAAGGAAGTTTTAAAAAATTTCTCTCTTCCTCGAGAGATTCCCCTTTCTTTGTATTTTTAAAAGTTACTGTACATCTCTGAGAAACATTAAAGCATTTTTTTCCCTAAGTAATAATTGTGGATTCTTTCTTACTTGCATTTTTGATTTGACTAATGGAAGAATATTGTTTTTATCTGTGAACATATATATGGACCGTATTTGCTATTCTCATAATGGAGCTTTCTGTCTAGAATAATTATACATATAAAATTTAAAGTAGTATTATATCATTTTATTTTTTAAATATATCCTGAGTTTCAGTTTGTCAAACATAAAGCCCTAAAGTTGTATTATTTAAAATAATCTAGTTCCAAGTAGTAGCTGAGATTAGAAGCATAGCAAAATTCATGCTATCACTATCTATAATAGGAATAATATTTATTAATAGTGTTATTAAATCACAACTCTATTGACATCAAAGATTGACCATTAAGACCAAGTCTAGCCAGATACGGTGGTTCACACCTGTAATCCCAACAATTTAGGAGGCTGCGGTTAGAAGATCACATGAGCTCAGGACTTCAAGACCAGCCTGGGCAACATAGTGAGACCCTGTCTCTACAGAAAATGTAAATATTGGCCAGTGTGGTAGCATGTACCTGCAGTCCAAGCTGCTTTGGGGGTTGAGGTGGGAAGATTGCTTGAGCCCAGGAGGTTGAGGCTGCAGTGAGCTGTGATTGCAGCTCTGCATTCCAGCCTGGGCAATGAAATGAGACCCTGTCTCAAAACAAAAACAAAAACAAAACACTAACTCCGGTTTATAACCAAGAAATTCCATGTTTAATATGAATTACAAAAATTATTCTTGGGGAACAAGTCTGCTTTTTTTCTGCTTATGTTGTGTGATTTCTTCTGTTTTGGCTTCTTCACAGATCCTTGGGGCTCCAGTTAAAACATTTTTTTCTCTTTTACGTCTAAACATCCAAGAAAAGTAGGAAGTTGTTCTCTCTTTTATGTATTTTTTATTGAATTTATTAAAATATAAGTCCCTTTGTCTCAAGCTATGACACACACAGTGCCTACATTACTTTTTGTAGTTACCTTGTTATTTTATGTGCAGCTATATTGAAAGTTTTCATTCTGTTAAAAGCATTGTGGAAAGAGGACTAGATGAGGAGTCAAGAGACTAACATAAATTAGTAATGAGATTATGAATAAATCATTTAATTTCTCTAGAACTTGTTTCCCAGGATCATCCTTTATACCGTATCATCCTTTGGTATGGAATTTTTCTTAAATCCATTCTAGGGGATCGGAAACTATCTAGTGGATTGAATAAATGAGAGTAGGCCCTTAGAGGCTTCCATTAATTAGAAAATACAGGAAAAGAATCTACTCATTTTCAGTCTCTTTTTATATTAAAACTCCTGACTCAATTTTAGTTTTCCTTGGTTCTGCACCAGGTGTTCTCTGAGTTCCTAGAAGCAATTCATGCCTTAAGGATTTAGGAAAAAAAGTTCAAAGCTCAGTGTACTCGACAGGGGCACAGTGTTAGAAAGTGTACTAACTCCAACCAGGTGCAGTGACTCATTCCTGTAATCCTAGCACTTTGGGAGGGTGAGGCAGGCAGATCGCCTGAGGTCAGGAGTTTGAGACTAGCGTGTCTCTACTAAAAACGCAAAAGTTAGCTGGGTGTGGTGGCGGGCACCTGTAATCCCAGCTGCTCAGGAGGCTGAGGTAGGAGAATTGCTTGAACCCAGGAGACGGAGATTGTAGTGAGCCGAGATCACGCCATTGCACTCCAGCCTGGGCAACAGAGTGAGACTCTGTCTCAAAAAAAAAAAGTATACTAACTTCATTGCCTCTGGATTTTTTGAGTATTATTTATAGTATACATTGAGACTTCCTGTTGTTATTATTCCCACTATAGCAAATCAGTGTGCCCATTACTTTTTACTTGAAATAACATATTTGAGGACACCCTTTATTTTAAAATCTGCATTGTAATTTATGTAGTTGACAGAATATAGCCTCCTATCTCTTATTGTTGAGGTTTTTGCTGATTAATCCACAACTTTTAATATTATATCTCATTAAGACCTTTATTAAAATGGATTTTTTATTCTTTTTTCTGTTTTTTGAGACAGTCTCACTCTGTCACCCAGGCTGGAGTACAAGTGGTGCAATAGTAGCTCACTGCAGCCTTGAACTCCTAGGCTCCAGCTATCTTCTCCTCTCACCTCATCTTGTGTGAGCCATAGTGTCCCGTTATCTTTCCTTTTTTTTTATTTTTTATTTTTTTATTTGGGATAAGAAGCAAGGGAAATAAAGTTGGATGTTATCTCATAATATCCAAACATTATATTAAAGTTTACTCCATGCTCTCTTCACATCCAACATTTTGCCAATTGTGTTTGATCTTCTGGCCTTTGTCTTAAAGCAGTTGAAAATGAAGTTTTACTTCCTCTCCTTGCTTCTGCTCTGCATTCATTTAAGTGACTGATATGTGCCAGTTAATTAGCTAGATTTCAAATAATATTAAAAGTAGCATCAGAACCAGGGAGATACCAGTCTACCATTGCTGGCTTCTCTCCACTTTGTTAAGACAATCCACTGCTATCCTTGCTTTTTAGTCAATAGAGTATAAAAGCTGTGTGAGTCAGTTTTCTCCTATTGCATCTCTTAGTCGTTTGATGGGTATGTTTGATTTTTATTTAGATTTTGGACTTAGGTAGTATTGCACTTAAGTACATTTGTACTGTTGTGTAGAGAAATCTTAAGGTTACTCTTTTTTAAAATGTTTGCTATTTATTACATCTCATATAAGAATCATTCGATAGGATTTCAGTGGAAAATATTAGAAGCCTACAGCCGGACAAACTTATTAATATATGTGTCTCACTTTTTCTTGGTTTATTTAAAAACTTTTAAATAAACGCTAACACTAAAAACATCCTTTGAAGGCATTTTTAAAACTCCGGTATTCCTATTACCTTCGTCTGTAGTTGCTGAGTAATAACAGCACTGAAGAAATAATGTTCAGATATTTTTTCAAAGGTCTGCTTCTGATAGGAAAATGCTTAGTAATGACAGAGGCACGCCCTCTAATTCAGTGGCCATTTTGTACTGTAGTTCTTCTGGAGAAACAAGTGGGAATCATCAAAGAAAGAAATGTATGGATCAAAAAGGAATATGGACAAGAGGCAGTAAATTTTTCATTTAGGTCAACTGGAGAAATTAGAACCATGCTGTCTGTGAGTAGTTTAATCAGTTGGACCAATTTTAATGGACCCTTTTAGCTTAATCTCTTTAAATTCTATGATTCGATTTTACTTTGCTGATTAATTAACTAATGCTTGAATTTGGGGCTTTTGGTATACTAAGTTAGAAATTATGTTGAAATGTGAATGCTCTGAAAAGCATTTCCTATTATTTTACATCTTAATATCCTGATATTATCTAAGGTTTAAGGGAGATAAAAGCACAAAGTAGTTAATTTCAGATTATACTTTGTGATTGTGTACTGAATTAAGATAAGTGAGAAGTCTATAGAAATTTACTACATTGGCAATACAATTATGGGGAAATTTATTTTCCATCATGGGATTTTGTTAATTTTGACAGAGATTTAGCCTTTTAAGTAGATTCCTCATTAAAAATTGAGAAAAATCACTGCCTTTTATAATTTGTTACAGTTTTACTCATCAGTTTATTTTGTGATATTCTGCAGCTAGCCTGGAAAAACATGGAAATCATAGCAATTAACAAGAGGAGTTTAATCCTTTTCAGTGGTATTTTCCAAAAACGATATATTGTTGTTCTATATGTGATAGTCACATTTAGACCTATAGCTTTAAGCTGTATTCAAAGATAAAATATTTTTTTAAATGCTTTGAAATAACACATAATAATTTTCAGGCACATATTTTCACATCAAATCCCTTTAGTTGCAGATACCTTTTCCCTAGAGATTTTATTTTGAATTAAAGATCTTTTAGAGGTTCTGTTGGCATGGTAGAAACTTTTAAAAATATGTAATTTACATGGTAGTATGTAGAGAATACTTTTTTCCCAGAGAAATTACAAATTGGTACAAACTTGAAGAAAAGTTACATATAACTTGGTGAATTCTGTAACTTGGGAATGGAAATTAAAGGCTTTTTGATCCTTTGAACCAGAATAAGCACAGATTCATATAGGTGTGAAGTCTGCGTTAACAAAGTTACTTCTCAAACATTACACAATTTTGGGCTTTTGTGCCAATGCTTTGTGCCTTATACGCCCTTCTCTGTTAGTAGCTAGTGTGCCTGTGTTTTCTTGCTTTTTGTATTTAATATGGACTGCATGGCCCAAATAACATCTGACATCTGACAATAGTTAGCATTTTGCCAAACCTGGTAATGTGGTTTAGATATCATACTGACATTTTAAATAAAGGAATGTGTAATAGTTGAAGTAGAGCGTTAGTTTGGGTTTTTTTGTTCCTTTGTTTTATTTTTTGGATTTTTTGAAACAGAGTCTCACTCTGTCGCCCAGGCTGGAGTGCAGTGGCACAATCTGAGCTCACTGCATCCTCTACTTCCCAAGCTCAAGCAGTCCTCCTGCCTCAGCCTCCTGAGTTGCTAAGAGCACAGGTGTGTACCACCATGTTTGGCTAATTTTTGTATTTTTTGTAGAGACAGCGTTTCGCCATGTTGCTCAGACTGGTCTCAAATTCCTTGGCTCAAGTGATCTACATGGCTTAACCTCCCAAAGTGCTGGAATTACGGGGGTGAGCCACTGCACCCACCCCATCATTAGTTTTTATATGGAAAAGTGTATTGGCTCATTTTATTCATTTACTAAACCCACATGTAATTGGGTACCTTCTTTTTTTCTTTTCTTTTTTTTTTTTCTTAGCAGACCTTAACTACCTTTTTCCACACAGATAACACATGAATATGTTCTCATTGTAAAAAATTTGCCCGCCTCGGCCTCCCAAAGTGCTGGGATTACAGACGAGAGACACCGCTCTGGGCCTCCATTTTCAATGAGTTGTTTTTGAAACCCATTAAGCTAGTTTTGAAAGTAATTTTTAAGACTAGAGTACCATTGTTTCTGTAGCCCCCAAGAACCTTTGCAGCCAATTTCTAACCTTGTGTAACGTGAGGCAAATGCTCTTACTGAATTTTCTTTTTTTTTTTTTTTTTTGAGAGGGAGTCTCTGTCTGTTGCCCAGGCTGGAGTGCAGTGTCATGATTTTGGCTCACTGCACCCTCTGCCTCCTGGGTTCAGGTGATTCTCCTGTTTCAGCCTCTCGAATAGCTGGTATTACAATAAACCCACATTACAGTCTCCCGCCACCATGCCCGGCTAATTTTTGTATTTTCAGTAGAGAGGGGGTTTCACTACGTTGGACAGGCTGATCTCAAACTCCTGACCTCAAGTGATCCGCTGGGATTACAGGCATCAGCCATGGTGCCCGGCTCTTACTGAATTCTTACATGTGAGCTATAGCTCATCTGAAGCAAAAATAAGGATTGGGAATAAATGTAGATATTATCAGGAGAATAATGCTAGCCTATTTTGAGTTTTCTAACTTAATCTGCTAAATAGATTTAAAATTACAAGTTTAGTTTCTAGTTAAGTAAAACAAACAACTATACACAGTACTACATTAGACCAAATTAATGAACTTCTTTACTCAAAATTATTTGCAATATGATGGGGTAGATAACAGCACTGGATCTATCAGGTTTTTCTGACCCAGAAAAATCCCTCTTCTCTTATTTACTACTATCTGTCCTTGTGACTTTGGGCAAGTTCCCTTGGTCTCTCTGTGCCTTAGTTTCCTCATATCTAAAATGAGCCATGCCTCATAAGGTTATTGCAAAGATGAGACAGGCTTGTATATACAAAAAAAAAAAAAACAAACTTAGATTAATTCCTGGCCCTGTCTGGGTACTCAATAAATGTTTAGTACTGCTGTTGTTTGTGGGGAGATGGGTGGAAAATAAATCAACCAACCAGATAGGAACTACACTGATCATCCTCCTGTGAGAAGATTGTGCATCTGGGTAGTATCAAGCAGAATTATCAGCCTCCACTGACATCACCAAACCAGAGGTTAAACTTGCTGTAAACTCAGAAATGGGCAGTGGGAAAAGATCAAGAGCCATTATCAAACAGTCACCACTTATAGCCCCATAGCCTTGGGAAAACACAGCACTGGAATATTATTTTGTTTTGTTTTGTTTTCATTATCTTGTTCATGTTGGTGCCTGCTATGGCTGTATTTCCCTTGGAAACTAAATTTCTAAATTGGTAATCCATTGCCTCCTGATTATTTCTCTTCTCTGAATTTATACCTTAAAATTCCTTGACTTCTTCCCATTTGCTACTTTATATTAGCCTTAGGCTAATAAATACAGAGCACTCTCTGAAGGATGAATAAAAATCATGGAGCCTGTAGATCGTAATAACACCAATTTTGTATGAGCATTTTCCAAAATATTCTCGTGAGAAAAAAGTCTGTATTGGTATGTTCCCAGATTGTGTAGCTTCTATGAAACTTAAAACCACCAATGGAAGGGGACAATTTAAGATGAAGTTAGCTTGAAGAGAGACAAAAATATGATTGAATTAAAAATTATACCTTGGAGGGTTCAGCATTTTGAACCTTATAGAATATAACATATGATATGTATGGTGAACTTGAGAGAGGTGGTTTCTTTTACATCTCAATTTTTCTCAAAGAGACAATTTTATATTATAGTTTAAAAGTATGAGCTTTGGAATCAGACCAACTGGGTTTATGTTCTGATGGTGACTTTAAGCAAGTTATACCTCTTTATGACTCATTTCCTCATCTGTAAAATGAGAGTAATAATAAAAATACCTCTTTATAGAGTTGTTAGAATTAAATGAGGTATTATAAAACGTGCTTAACTCAATGCCTACTAAATAAGCAACTCAGCAAATGTTAACTATTTTTAGTGTTACTACATTGTTTTTCAGGCTTGGCTCTGCTGTTTTCTAAAATATGTATAGTAACTCTGTTAGGGCCCTCCTGTCTTCTCATACCATTATCTCTAGTTGATCTTACAGACTACATACGTTTCTATACTGGTATATCATATGAGTTTGCCACCATATTTATATGCTAAAAACTTGAATCTATACATTCAGTAGGCTACTTTCCTGACCTCCAGACATTTTAGGTCTACGCCATTCACATTTGACTATCTCATAAGGCACTTCTAATACATCACCTTCATCCTCAGATTTGTTGCTGCGCCACTGTTTCATATTTCATTAAATAGCACCACCTGATTCTTCAAATCAGCAATCTTAATCTTGATCCCTCCGTTGCCAACCATTTTCAATCAGTAATCAAGTTATTTTGATTTTAATACTTAAACACATTTATTAAATGTTTTCATTTTTCTATACCTCTTGTAGTCCAAGTATCCAACAATAAGAGACTGGATAAATAAATCATGATAGATTCATGGAATTTAAATGGTATAAGGACACTGAAAAGGAATAAGGTACAATATATGTCCTAATATGGAAAGGTCTCTAAAATACAGTCAATGAAACCAAGTGCAGAGAAAAGTATATAGTATATTTCCATTTGTATAGAAATTTTGAAGGCTATTCATACATATGTAAGTGGATACTAAATTTGGGGGGAAGGATTCATGAGCTAAATATTTATTACCTTTTGGATGAGAGACTAGGGGACTAGGGTAGGAAAAACAAAGTTATTTCTCATTTTATATCTTGTTGTATTGTTTAAATTTTTCGTATAAAAGCAGCAAGACAGTAAAAAACAAACAAACCCAGGTTGAGTAGTTGAGCTTAGTGTCCTTTTACAGATGAAATAAGTTAACTTTTCTTGTATATCCCCAGAGAGAAGTTAATGGGCGAGAACTACCCAAGTAACTAGTGCCTGACACAGAGTAGGCACTCAATAAGTATTTGGCTAGTGATAAAGGAGTAAATGATGATTATCCCTTTTCTATCCAGATGATCTTTACACTGGAATGCTGTTAGCACTCAGTCATTGCCATCTGCAAGAGAGAACAGATAGTGTGAGGGACCAGAATCAGAATTTGGCCAGTAGTTAGTGCAGACTACAAATTGCTTTTCTGAAAGGGTATATGGCCCTGAGATCAGCTCTTCTGATAAAGGGAAAGAGAGAGTCTCAAGGGTGCATCAGGGCTAGTGTGAAGAGCTTGGAGGGTTCAGACACACAGAATAAGTGACATAGG